AAAATTTCAGATACAAAATTTTAATATGTCATATTTTATTTTTCCCAAACTAGAGTCATATTACATCATTTTCAAAAATATTAATGGGCTGTTAAATAAAACTTGCATAGGAATTAAAATGTGAGATTTAAAAAAATTATTTCCACGCTGTTTATTAGTATATATGTTATATAGAATTTGAATTTTTATCTAGAAATTTATTTCAATGATTTTAAAAAAAGATAATAAGATCAAAGCCATATCTAATTGAAATTTTCTTTAGTTGTAACTGAAGTAGATATTGGTATCACATCAAAAGTCTTGGATGAACTATTCATCTTGTAGATACTACTGCTTACAAGAGATGAGAAAAATACCAAATAGCATATTTAGTCTTTTTTATTATATAAATAGCATATTTATGTATATAGTATGGTAAAAATATTTAAGATAATAATTTAATTTTTAAGAAATATTCATCATGTATATATACAATTTTCATCATTTATATTTTTATGTTTCCGGATCCTAATTTATGTCTCTTCATAGCAGAATATAGATGCACTAAAATAAATAAAAATAAGAGAAAAATAAATCAATAGTAATTCTTATTAGATTCTATCACAATTATCATCAACCGTCAATCATTCATACAACTTAATGCATATTTATTCTATTTATATGAAATTATAGAGAATATATAACAAAAATTTTCAATCACAAGCTCACAATGATTTTCAAATGATAAAATATGATATTTGAACTAGTAGTATATGAATTTAATCCAAATCATCACAATGATATATATATATATATATATATATATATACATACATACACATACATACATACATACATATACATAGGTATAAAAACATCATTCAACATTATTCGTATAGATATGTTTGATTAACTTTTCTAGTATATTTGACAATAATAACCTTTTTTTTTAATTGTATAACAAAAGTTTGTAATATGTTTGCAAACTATTTCCTGTGCTTTGTGCATGATTGATGTTGTGACATGATATGCATTGCTGGCACAACTTTGTGCATTGAAAAGCTTCCCACCTTTCATGTATTATTCTCAAGCATGGCTAACTTTATATTCTTTTCTTCAATCCCACACATAAGATTTAAGAGCAAACCAATGGTAATGTTACAACATTAATGGATGCAGCCTTATTGTTGCAGGTGATCTGAAATTGATGTTAGATATATTTTAGATACACTAGGATGTAAACATTAGTGTGATACTATTGGAAAATAAAGAAAGAAGAAATGGTATCGTTTAGTTTTTAATTATTAGGGCTTGATGTGTTTCCCTTCCTTCCTTTTTTCCTACCTGGCAAAACGGAGTGCAGATTTTTCATGTTTTGTAAGGGGATATGTCTCAATAATTACAGAAGTGGATATCCACCCAAACTGGGATAAAACATTCAACACTTGAGACTAGAGAAGGCAACATCAGCATATTGAATGGTTTAGGGTTAGTTGAAAACCCAAGAGAAGCAGATACCGGATGGTGTATAACTTAAGGAAAAAATGTCATCCTCTCATTGACGTTTCTGACTTCCCATTAGATGAGTCGTCTCCCCAACTTATGCGTTGAATTAATGCGTGAAATGACTTGACGGTATGCATGGGCAGCGGGCTACGGCCTCAAATTTAGCCGGCTAGCCGTCGGCTATAGGCCGAAAATGCAATCATTTGGCCGAAATAAATGTTTATGGACAGTTTCGGCCGAATCTGAGGAAATAATCAACCGAAAACGTAAATTCGGTTACGGTTCGTTTTCGGCCTCGGATAGCGGCGGCAATATTTTTAGGCTAGCCGGCTAACATTTTTCGTTAGCCGGCTAGCCATTAGCCGAGCCGTACCCGTCCCTACTTGACGGGCCCTCCGGCTTGCAGTCAGTATGAAGATAGCCGTTAGCCGAGCCGTGCCCTTCCCTACTTGACGGGCCCTCCGGCTTGCAGTCAGTATAAAGATATTGACCAATCTGAATGTACGCCAGGAAGATCTCTTTATGGCAAAGAAAGCTGCTTAGACTGCTGGCATCTTTGCACAGTTGAATAGAACAGCTCTTAAAGCCGAGATGGATCAATGAAGGCCGGACAGCACATCTTGTCTCCTTGGATTTGGGAGGTGGGCGTCCCCCACCGACACCTGGCTTTGTTCTAAAGCTCCTTCTTGCGTGTTCATACTGTTTGTGATACTGAACGTACACAAATCTGAAGTGTATGAAGAATTTACAATTTAGCCAATTAAAAGGGTATGGCTAGTCTCATCTGATTGGTTGAACATCCATAGTTGCTAATGCATCGACCAATAAAAAAAATAATTATACTAAAGTAAGTACCAATTAATCCTAAATGAATGATAACTAGCCGTGATTAAAATTATTAATTGTACTTATAGTTATAACTCACTTGTGTTTGATTATGTGACATCTCTTTCACATCACATTTAAATTGCGTTTGCATGACAAAATTATTGCTCTCCAGAAACATTAAAAACTAGACAGTCCAAAAATTTCTCTGGGATATAACTTAGATATGAAAACAATATATACTCATTCTTAGTTTTATACTATCTCTTGGGCATGTATTCGTAATTCTAAATATGTTTTTCTTAGTTAACAGTCCCTTGCCGAACTTCAAGAACGAAAACATCCTTTGAATGACTTAATCTTTGCATCTACTGTAGTATTTTGATTGTTGATAAAGACCTAGGCAAATAAAGTTGAAGAGTAGGCGATGGTTCACATGGACATCACTAATCTAACATGTTGTCTTTGAGAAGTCTTGCATTCTGTCTGTATAAATTATCAAAAATATAGCAATAAAAATCGATAATAAACAAGATTCCCTCTAAATTGATGATGTCACATAGTATGATGATATATACATTGACCAAAGTGTAATTTTATCTCATCTCCAAAAGAAAATACTTTAGTGTATTTCAAGGTCTGTCCGGAATTGAAATAGTGAAATTCCTTGATTTCTGCTACTGTATTGTAAGTCTTAATAATCAATATGTAATGAGTATGAATGCTCGTAAATTGAGATGCGCCTATTTTTTAAGAGAGGTTTAGCACTCGGCTAGTCAAAATACTCACACTGTTTGCGCTCTGGTGTACTTGTTCGGTTATGAATAACACACAATTTAAATTTGAGATTCTCTTTCATAGGAGGAGTATGAAATTATCTTCTAAAAGCTACTTTATGTGCAATTCAAAATCAGTATTGCGTTCTGCATTATCCCAGTATTTTTATCATCAAAGGTTTTTTTTAACCAATCATTCTGTCTGACCATTAAAGCCAAAGAAAACAAATGGTTGTTCACAATGTACCCTCGGTAATCGCGACTTATCTCTAACGCCTACCTTTAGAAATAGTTGTAGTGACGGAAAACTTGTATTTATTGACATGGAAAATTGATTCATGCGTTGGTATGAAGTAATATGATTCCAGTGGCGTAAATCAAATTTTTTTTGTTATTCTTTACCAATTGAAATTACCATGCTAAATGGCGAGTAATTTAAGCAACTTCCATGCAATCACGTAATTCATGCTTTCACAATCATACAACCAAAATTTCATCCGTTGAGCAATTTTTTGTTACATTATCTAATGAATACTTTGCACATATATTCCTTTGAGTTTTTTTTAATCTTTCTTATGGATATCTAGATTTCGAAATTAGTCAATATTGTGTTCAGTCAATCTATCCACTAAGATTAGAATCATAATGTGTAGATATATTGATAATACGCGTGTTTGAAGTCATAGCTTAGCAAACTGTTTTTATTTTGGTTTTGTTATCTCTGACACAAATTTGTTGGATGAGTAGAAACTTATAGATTGTGTGCAGAATACAACGTTGTTAATCATTAGTTTGCAATTAATTATCAAAATATATTTTTATATTTGATATCAATTCGATCAATGTTTTTTTATATGATATAATTTTCTAATAAAATAAATATTATTTTTAATTAAAAAAATCGTATCATATAAGAAATATTGATCAAATTGATATCAAATACAATAATATGTTTTGATAGTTTATTATAAATTCATGATTATATTATACTTTTTATATTATAAAAACCAACTCAAAACATAAACAGTTACAAATAATAAAAAAAGTCTTTTTTCTCCAGATAAGGTAAAGAATTATTTAAAAAAAGTTGCCCGGCATCTTCTCAATGCATTTCACAAAAACATCCAACATGGTATAGTTGTTTCTTACTCCTTATATCCATTGTAACAATATCTTTCATGTTCCATACATTTAATATTACAAGTGTATGAAGATATCGCTTGCAGATCCTCGAGTGACAAATGACACGAAGATCAAAGTTTGTGTGAGTGTGGCAAACATTCTCGTGTCGATGCACAATATGTATTACAACTATGGTACGATTGAATTCTTATATTCTCTTCCTCGTGGAGGTGAGAGATTCAGCCAATGCCATATGATGCTACGCTGACAATTTGGCATATTTCGCCCAACGTTGTATGACTCGGTGCCCCTTTATACAGAGCCAATGCAGGGCTTGACATCGGAAGCTGATCTGGTCGGGTTCAACAAATCAGTCAACAGGTTTGAACTATTCGATCTCTTGTTTGCATCGTAGTGGCCGTGGGAGAAGACTTCGCTCGCACACTAAAGAGCGGAGAAATGGCTCTGCAATCACTTTACAGGTACCGAAATAAAAATACAGTGCACAGAAGAAGACTTCGCTCGCACACTAAAGAGCGGAGAAATGGCTCTGCAATCACTTTACAGGTACAGAAATAAAAATACAGTGCATGAGCTAATGAGCGGAAACCCTACATGGGAGTTCACGTCGGCCAGGAATGTCCGTGGCAACCTCCTCTAAGTTTAACTCGGGTCGAACTCAGCACGCCGTACCGTAGGTAGGTCTAGCAAGCTGGTGCTCTGGGCGATTGATCCGTGGGCCTGAGAAACACGGAAGGAGTCTAAGGACGAGGAAGCTCTGCGAGGACGCGTGTATTGGATTCGTCGCCCTGTTTCGCAACAGCTGACGCACAGCGCCCCCACGTTTCATTGTCGTCGTAGGCACGTATTTTCTGCCCTTCATCACAATGATCGGATCGTCGTTGTTGCATAATTCGTGAAACTCTTTGCATGCAAAGGCTAAGTAGGAATTCTCGAACGTCGTCCGCGTCGACCTCAGTCTCTGTGAGAGCAGTGCAGTGAAGTTTTTGTTCCTCTCTATTCTGCCTTTGCTTCGAGGGACTCCGCAGTTTGTAGATCTCGAAGCTGCTCGAGATCTGCATCTAACTCGAAGCCGCTGTTTCGTACATCGAACCCCGTGGTTAACAACGAGTCGGCTTGCTTGTCGATGTGTGACGGATAAGTTCGTTCTATCAACCGTTCTTCCTAGGTCGAGAGATTCACTCGGAGACGGAGTCCTGACTTGTTGACCTCGAAGTGCGTAATAAGAATCTTACGTTTTTTTCCACATCGGTGTCTAGCTTCAGTTAGTCGATTTACTTCTACAGACGTGTTGACAGCTTGGGCGTGGATTGTTGACGCTTGAGTAACGAGGCAAAGACCAGCTGGGGAACACGTTCAAGTGGTGAAGCAGAATAAGATGGTGAAGGACACGCAGTATTATGAAGTGCTCGGTGTATCTCCTGATGCAACGGCGGCTGATATAAAGAAAGCTTACTACGTCAAGGTAGAATTTACCCATTTACACAAGCTGGTGTGTTTGTCTGCTTGTTTTTTAATCCAACTTTGATTTGAATAACCAAATCTTGGACAGAGCTGAACAAAGTTGAGGTGTTGGATGGGGCAGAAAAAAATTGGATGTCAGTTTGTTTCTAGTGTATCAAGCAATTTCTTTCTACCTGTACTCGTTCACATGACATTTTTGTGGTGCGCGAATTCGATTATTCTCGTGAGATTTATAGCTGAAGCGAGCTAGTTTGTTGTGTGAGTAGAAATTCAATGTAGACACGTTATGAAGTTACTGGAGGGATAAATTCTTGGAAATATCTTAAGAAAGAGAATCCCACCAGTCATGAGCATGTACGGTCTCTTATCGAGTTCCCTGTACTCTCCATGTGCGCTTCGTTTCATACCCAAGCTCTTTCGCATTGCCCTCACAGTATCAGTTGATCTCAGTGTAGAGCTTGACGTTAAGTTGACCCTCTGGCGTTTCGATTCTTCTACCAATGGACATCAGAGGGATAGAAAGAGATGTCCTCGTGAATCACGAAAACTTTAGATTTCACGACTACTTTCTTTGTGATAGATTGGTTGCCAACGGCACAAGTGTGTGCAATTGGACATGTTATGGCGTTCAGAAATGTCATGAAGAACACCTCAGAGATGTGCAGTTCGAAGCCTTAATGCCATATTCATGTGTTCAATTCGCACGCAGCCAATTACAGCAGTTATTTGGGTGTGTATTGCAGGCAAGAAAGGTTCACCCTGATAAAAACCCAAATGATCCGGAAGCTGCTCATAATTTCCAGGTAACAGGTGACAGTCTTTATGAAGTCCATGATTGAATCTAGGCAACCACCTGATCCGCATATGATGGTAACATTCTGTCAAGTGTACGACTGCAGGTTCTGGGAGAGGCCTATCAGGTTCTTAGTGACCCACGACAAAAAGAGCAATATGATCAATTCGGTAAACCTGGAGTTTCACAGTGAGTTATTGTAGAAAATTTTAACCGCGTCTATTGCTCATCTGTGTTTCATGAACATCAGTTGCTCATCTTTCAGAATGACATTATGCCTGATTGACTTCAGAAAAGAGTGTCAGTGCAGAAAAGCTAGAACATGTTCAATTTTCAAAAGTTTGTGAAGTTCAGCACCTGAAGTGGGGCTTTGTTTGAATTTGCAGAGAATCAATGATGGATCCAGCAGCAGTATTTGGTATGGTGTTTGGAAGTGAGCTCTTCGAAGATTACGTGGGACAACTTGCCATGGCATCTATGGCTTCACTGGATGTACCAACTGATCGACCAATGGATTTAAGGCAAGCTCAAGAGAAGCTCAAGGTAAGCACAGGGTACTGATTGTTAAACATTTTCAGTGATGGACTGTAGAATTCATAGACTAAGGACAGAAGTAGCTTCTATTTAACTGTTCCTGTAGAATCTTTGAGAGAAGATGGATCTTGTTTGTGTGGTGTTTACATAGTGTCATCTCCCAGGTTTTGGTGCAGAAGTTTTATTGAGTCCATCTTACTCAACCTCGTTGGCTTCCGTCTTTTCCTCGTTTAGTAATTGCCATCGAGAGTTCAGTGGACATGTTTCTTTGACATCATCTCTGTTAGAGGAGAATTGTTTCAGTCGGCTTAACGGTCTGTGTAAGATTCGATGACCGGTGCTTTTGGACCTTATTTGGCGGAAAGCATTACAAATTGAATGAAGAGTGTACTCGTGGAGGGTTTTCTGAAGAGGTCAGAGTTCAAATCTTGCAGGAAGCGCAGAAAATCAGAGAAGATAAGCTGTATGAGAAGTTAGTCGACCGCTTGAAGCTGTACGCAGAAAACAAAGATGAGTTCAGAAATTGGTGCCAAATTGAAGCTGAGCGACTTTCTGGTGGAGGTATATGTCTATGCCTTTCGGATTCGCTATGTTTGTTCGAAGGGTAACTTTTCTAAATTGTCGAAGATATTTCAGTTGTGCCTGGTGCTCGTACCTCGAAATACTTTCCTTTCGAAAAGAACACTTGCATTTCTATACACATTCGCCGAAGTCGAAATCACGCAGTGAAGTCGTTGAATGCAAACGAAGTCTGGATCAAATTGATTGTACGGATCAATTGATACCGTTTAACTTCAATAATATCTTTCAGACGACAAATGGATGTTTTTCTCATGCTTTCGTTGTCAGTGGCAAAGTGTTTAAGATAGACGATTTTTGCCACAACGTTCTATGTGTTTGCTAAGACGACTGAGTGTAATGATGACAGCCTTTGGTAACGCAATCCTTTACACTGTTGGTTACATCTACACAAGGCAAGCTGCCAAAGAGATGGGAAAGAAAGTGTATTTATTGGGCATCCCTTTCCTAAGTGAATGGGTCCGCGATAAAGGTCACTTTATCAAGTCTCAAGTCACCGCCGCTGCAGGTTTGTGCACTTTTTCCTTTTGAACCATAGTATTATTGTTTCAAGAAGTGTCTGGGCATGTTCAGGGCTTACGTCTTCTGCTCTTGGTCCTTGGAGGATGTGGGACTTCCCTGTAAATAAGATGTATGTTGTTATTTTATAAATTCAATCAGTAAACGAACTTGTGACTTGGATGGAGTTTGTTTTTCCAAGTGTTTTGTTTTGGACATGATTAGACTTATGTGTACAAGTGGAGGGGTGCAGGTGCAGTGCAGTTAATGCAGATGCAGGAGGAGATGAGGAGGAAGTTGGAGCAAAGCGGTGGAACTCTTCCAGAGGGAGCTATTGAGAAGTTTATGGAAGACAAACAGACGCTTATGCTAGGTTCTCTTTGGAAACTCAATGTCGCTGATATCGAAGTAACTGTTTCCCATGTTTGTCAGAGGGTAAGATAAGACTTTGAGCTGGTTGGTTGGCTTCTGAGCAATAACCTTTTTATAGTGAATGAGGTAGTCAATGTCGAAGAAGCAGTTATGGACATTATATCTTTTCTACTGACATCAATCCACCGCTTTAATTGTCTCATTAGGTACTGCATGACCCAAAGGTGAAGAAAGATGAGCTGAAGCTTCGAGCTAAAGCTTTGAAGAAAATGGGCTTCATATTTCAGGTACACCAAGATATTAATTTGTGTAATTTTTTTCGGGGTCTCTGAAAACGTGATCGAGACAGATGGATCAAAAGGTAATTGTAGGTTGATGCTATTCTAGTTTGTGTCTGCGTTTTCTTCTCCCTGATCATTTGTCAAATCCATGTGATATTGTTATTTCCGGTGAATGCAGGCAGCCAAAGTCAACATGGCGAAAGCTAAAAGTTATAGAACAGAGCACGGTGTTCCTTCTCAGGATGCTCACCCGCAACAGCAACCATCAGCTTCTCCTAATGGAGCTTCCACGGATTATGCTCAGGTATATCTTTAACTGACCTCAGGGTTGTCTTGAGTGTGGCGCGTCTTTTTCATACTCGCGGTCGTTGACCGTTGATGTCGATGGCTGTTACCTTCTGGTGAGCGCTGATAGGTAGGAATCATGCAGATGAAATGTTACTTCAATTGTTTTTTGGTTTCTGTAAACGAGGTTTTACACGGTACTACGACTTACGACATCTGCGATTCTTGATTCGATTAGTGCACTAGAGATATTACGGTGTTTGTTGCAGTGGAGAAAATCCGAAGCCGAGAGAGAAAACGAATAAGGTTGAAGACCTTGGAGTTGGTAATAGGCTTGTAAAACGTGCAGGTGTCATGCCTGTGGCAGATGTCCCGTACATTTGACACGTCCAGGGTTTCGTAATTCGCGAATTCTTTTGGTGTCCCCACTGGAAACGATTTTGGAGTAGCTTTTGATGCTTCGGGAGTACATTCTTGGTTTTTCTCATTAGAATTAATATGGTGTGGTTTTGCAGAAGAAACACGAAACACATCCTGTACCACCTTCAGAAGTGCCACACGCTAGCTATGTTCCACCTCCAGAAGACCCTTCTGCTCAAAACATACCATCGTATCCAGGAGTCTCAAGTGCTAGCACTTTTCCATCTTCGTCTTCCGGGTTTTCCTATTCAAGCCCTGTATCATCGACTGAAGCTCCGAGGAGTACTCACCCTGTACCACCTCATGTGTCTGAATCTATGGCAAAGCCTATCGTCAATCCCGACATACCATACGGTCCTGGTCCTTACGTATTCACCCAAGCTGCACCAGGAACACCGGAACCCACAACAGGCCCCAAAACTTTCCCGCTTCCGAAGGCACCTGAAGGCGCCTCCACAACTCAAAGCTCTCAATGAAACTCAACAAGTGGCGTGGAGCACATGTGAATTAGCTGAGTTGTGCGAGTTAAAAAAGAGTCACTTATTATGTCTGCAGATCTGCAATCCTTGTGACCAGAAAACCCGCTCAATCATTTTGGATTGTTTAGTACCACCTATTTTAGTGACAGATTGTAGAGGTACTGGAACTTGTAGCACACTCTGCAGGCCAAAGGCCTATGAGTTCGCCCGTGTACAAAACTCTTTAAAAGCCTGAAATCTCCGCACCTCAAAGTTTTAGGTACTACATTAGAGCAAGTTTATCCATGTCAGCGTAAATCCAAACCATAATCTGAGTGTGGATGCGATGCACTCGTGTTATATAGTCCTCATCTCTTGAACCGTCAAAACTAGCTGCTCATAGGTACAGTTACTTTTCTATCGAAATTTGATAGTTGCGTCTGACGGTGCAGGCCTCGGGGAAGCCGTCAAGTTCGGGCATGTAAGTGCAACACTTAGCTCTGTCGAGTGATTCTTGAGGTGGAGGAATATTCTAGACGAAATGCGGTGATCTTGACTTGGTCCAAGGCATTAGCTGTTCTCAAAACTCTCTCCTTCAAAGGCTTCTTGTGATAGCAAACGTTCCCCAATGATGATGGGAACGTCAACAATCAAAGAACACTTCTAACGGTGAAGAAAGCCGGAGGCCGTGAAACGCAGAGGTTTTGAGTCCCCTGGTATTGTGATTGCCGTGCTCGACCCCAATACAGCTGTCAGAGTCGATGCTTCTCTACATCTCAAACCCATGCAGAGCAAGCTGCTACGTGCTTGGTAAAATCTCTGCTTTAGCCTCGAGATTGTCTTCCTTTTTAGCTTAACAATGTCGTCACTTAGCTTGATGGAGTACTTGGTATTGAAGACCGAGGACGACGGTGAGGATTGCGCAGTGGATCTGTGGTAGTGGAGATAAGGCCCTGGACAACTTTTTAGAGCAAGCCGATAAAGATTTGAGGGCCAGGGCTTTCATAGATAATATAGGATGCTTCCAGTGTTAATGACGAATTAATTTAATTCGACACTTAGGTAGCAGAGGCCAAACCACTCAAGGATGGAAGGCGTTCTATGGAGCGTTTCCCCTAGGAAGCCTGAGTTGATGTCGAGACATTTGGTTGGTAATTGAAGTTGGTAGATAGTTGATCGTCCAAGATTTGGGCGTCTTTTGTAACTAGTTTCAACAGTTTATCCTTTCTGTAAAGTACCTTGTCTGTGCCTTCATTATTGTAATCCCCGTATTCTGGGTGAAGAGTCCAACCAGATCTTGAAAGTTAGTTGCTAGACTTCCGTGATGTAGAAATTTTATTATTCTTTCGAGTTCCGATTATACCATCATTCAATTACATCACGTCACGGTGAAAGTTCTCGTCTTTGGACCTCAATGAGTAACATCAACGATATGTCGTGCCTGGCGTCCTGACGGCCGTACTAAAGAACGTGAATCTAGCCGGGTGCTGTGTACGTTGCTGTCATGCAGTGCTATACCGGACGTGATGTGAATAGCAAGTACTGGTAAATTGCGTGTTCATGATATAGGCCTCCCGCGAATTTCTCAGCGGACCATGTAAGACTTGACTTATGGTAATCTATTTATGGAAATTGGTTCGAAATTCCTGATTATTTTCAATAAGAAAACTTTCTCATCCTCCGTCCATAAAGAAGCTTCATGAAAAGCTGATAATAGTTCAAAAGTCGGACAATTTGACGTCTGCTATGACCCTTTGGGATATATTTGGACGTGAAACTGGGACCATTGCACGCAGGAGAATGTAGTGTTCGGTCTTCGAAACATGTAATTGTTAATTATGATTCATCATGTAATATATCATATAGTTCAACACTTCAATGTTACTGTGTACATCATCGTCTTCAGATCAGGTGATGTCTTTTAATATAAATTTATACGGAATATTAATTTTTTGGTTTCTCGTATGATTCATGTGGATGATATGTTTTAAACATTGTAGAGACAATGTGATACATGTGGATGATGTGATTCTTAACAGAAACACAAACTGTCGAGACATATGAAACAATGTTTCTCGTCTTTTTGGAAGATTGTGAACAAATATGATTTTACTTTCTTGATACAAGGATACATAATCTTCTCTGTAATGTGAATGAAATCTAGTGTTTGTTTGTTTTATAAATTTTTTGTTACTTTTCTTTAAATTATTTCAAAACCAAAATAATCAAATTAGAAATCTTTGACATTTCAATTTGGAATGGAACATAACAGGTATTTTCAATCAGTCGTGTGCCAATCAGTACTTGAGCCAGAATGAACATAAACTTTGCGATTGTGCATTATTTGCCATCTCCAAGTTCCAGACATGTATGTAAGATATATCTTAGATGTATGTAAATACATCTAAGATATATTCTAGCGTAACCCTAAACATACTAAGAATTGAAGATATTTTGCATATTTCTCTCTGCTTGAAATATGTACAAGTGCTATACATAGTATGGTTCTTTACCATAGTACAAGTGACTCAATACTCATTGTATCCCCTCACTAATAGCAAGATAGACGGGACGGTCAAAGTAAAAAAAATTCCAAAATGTGTTAATATTTCCAAAAGTCAGATGAGTTTATGCGTGTTTCGGAGAAAAAATATTACATACTATATACATATCACATGGAGATGAAGGTACTTTCGATTTTTTTTTTCAAGTTTTCTGAAGCTTCAATTAATTTAGAGTAGACAAGTGTGAAAACTCTAAAACCTCAGAAATGAGTATCTGGATAAGGTAATGAACGTTTCTGATCTAAAACAGTACAAGATACATTTTGGATTGTAGAACGCATAACGTTGAAATTCAAATGATAGATATGGTTTCCACAACTATTATCTGCCATACACCTACTATCGTTCATGAAGATCTAAGCATGGGTGGGTTTAGTTCTAGAGTTTTTTTGTTTGGATATTTTTTTTCAGAACACATAAAATAAACATACTATATTTGAATTTCTGGTTGATTTTCTATTATTGTCTTCCTTAATGAATATCAAATATTCATTATATTGACCTTGATAATTTAGAGTTATGAGTGAAGAATTCTCTTAAAAAATATGGGTTTTTAAATTTGACTAAATATTTTTAAAAATTAACGTTGAGTGTAGCCACACAGTTTATGATCTTAAATCAGTTTATTACATTTATGTAGGCTCTTGGAAGAAACTCTAGTATTAACACTAATCAATATTTCTTTCTTCCTTTCATCCTTTGTTAATATCTAATGATATCAAGGAATTTTTCTTTACATCTTTTGACATCCATTCATAGTAGATCAGACCCCAGTAGAGGTATGAGGCAAAGATCTATCATGTCTTATTTAAATTCTTTTGGCGCACTCTCCGTTCTCAACTCTACGTCTCTACTCAAAGTCATTTTTTAAGATGAATTTACTTTTAGACAAATGATAACTCTATTTATCCACCTCAATGTTTCAAATGACTTTATTGATTGCAAGTGGGGATATTCATCTTGTATTAAGTCAATTGCTAGATGCTGGTTGATTTCTCCCACGGGAGGTTCTATTTTGACACTTGGGATTCTATTTTGCTTGTTATATGATTTGTTACTTCTACAATTATCATTCACAGTCCTTCATATTTTTACTATAATAATTGTTTTTTTGAATTCGAAAGAGTCACCATTTCAAATTAGGAAACAATAATAAATGTTTTTAATGAAGTAAAATATATTTAATTGTAAGTATTCAATGAGAAGAAATTTGGATATCTTACTTTTCGTACTTTCTCATAATTAATATATGTATTTCCGTCTGTCTACAAAGAGCAATCATGATATATATTGATTATTCGAATATATTGTTTTTAAATTAAATATAATTAATTTTAAATTTTAAATTAACAATATTATATAAAATAATCATGTCAAAACATGATTCTTTGTATTTCATCTTGTTTGCCGAATGTCGAATGCAAAAAATTAGCATATTTTAGGTGTAATATGTAGCAGGTCATATAGTATCGTGGCACCATGGTTTTATCCGTCATATAGTACACGGGGACATTCTTTCACAAGGCAGCTGTACAAATTTGATTCCTTCAAGTAGGCTTGGCCACGGTCCGGACCGACAGTTAACCCGGTTAACACTTGGGACCGGTTAACCGGTCCCAGATTTCTCCGTTCGAGTCTTGAATCTTCACAATCCATGGGTACCAAAACTGCAGGTAACCAATTCGTGACTCACTGTAATGAGAAAATTCATTATCACACGTTTAGTCTGATTTCGGCCTCATTGCAACACATAAATGTTTTGACGGGCCCACACGAACCCTAAACTCACGACGAAAGAATAGGAAGAAATCGAGCGCTCAATTCGAGTCTGATGCGGAATTCAATCCGCTTCAGAATTTTAGTTGCTCTCGTGACCTGGTGATCGTCAAATTGCGCAAATATGTCACCTGTTGATGTGACGATCGAGGGTTACGAGCTCGGACTTGTGCAGGGAGGTATTACAGGATTCTGCTGAACGTCGTTATCGCACCGTGGCACCCGAGTTCGTCAAGGAATGCAAGCAAGAATTCGGGAGTTTAGCCGACCGTTTTTGAGAAACTATTAGTCCACGAGTGTCACTTTGCACACAATTCTTAACCGCGCAGAGCGTATTAGGGTTAGCCACGATATGGTCCGACGGTTAACCGTCGGGATCGGTTAAAGCATAGGTTAACCCTTACCCGATGCGGGTCCAGGCTAGGCCTAGCCTGGACCGGTTAACCGGTCCACGATTTTTCCGGTTAACCATTAACCGGACCAGTGGCCAAGCTACCTTCAATCACAACTCTGACGGCAATGAGTCAACGCATAAATTTGACTCCTTCAATCACAACTCTCACGGTAGTGAGTCAACGTATAAAGAAGTTCTTTATCTCGCCCTAACATTACACAATGACATCATATTATTGTTGTGGTTTGTTTCAGTTGAAGACAACATAGCGTTACGACCTATATCCCAAAGGTGGTCTCACGCTCAGAGTAGACCGTATACTCCATGAAATGTCCAATTCACAAATGTACAGAATTGAATTCAACATTTGTGAACATTACAGTCAGATTCGGAAGAAGATATATCAAAATTGTCTAGTCTTTATAAAAAGTGTAATCCTGATTGTCAGAAATAAACAGCTGGAAACGGCGAGCAACGGACAGGGCTTAACAATCACATGTACAGTATCATAGTACTGTACATGTCAATATGCAGTATCCAGCTCTACGTTGAAATGTAAGGTGAATGGTTCAAAACGAACGTGGAGGTTTATTCGTCTCATATCGGCAAGAATGGCTGAATCCATCAAATAAGTCAGTGTCCTGATGGCCGGGCAGAAGACAATATATTCGATGGATCTCAACCAAATCCAGTAAGAAGTTCAGACTGGATGTCGTGAGATTCAGGAACCACATCAGGACAATGCTCGTGCACGCTGAAAGTATGGATTCGGTCTCAGATAGTATCAGACTTTGACCAGTTTAGTCAATCTCTCGTGTATGTGAAGAAGAAAAGCTGGTCATGAGACGTCAAACTTTTTTTCTTTCATATTGTCAAAGCACGTCTGTACTCTCTCCAGCTGCAACTACTGCACTGTGGGAAAATGAACTGGAGCAAGAGATATCATGCCAGTTAGACTCGGCGGTTGCAGTGGACTAATGAATTCCTTGATCCTCATCTGATTCTACGATGAATCCTACTGGTGACGAGGAGGTCACTGTATCTTTTGCGTCGACGAAAGATTCCACGTAGAAATAGCAAGCTAGCAAGTATGCATGTAAGGGAATCTCTTCTTACAGTAAACCTCTGCACGTTAGAATCCTAGGATCAGACAGACAGAGGATGATAGGATCACATTCATGTGCATCACCAACCTCTTGATACAGTTATGAATGACTTGCATATTGGGGATTAGACGTTAGTGAGTTGCAGATGTTTACAAGAATTTGACTTTAGAACTCATGCTACAGAACCACTGATCGATGTTTTTGTCAGTTCAATCTACTGTCTGGACATGAGTGTGGTTGACTTTTAAAGTTTTTTGACTAAGCAGCCCTGCAGCTTCATGCAGCCCTGAGAAGTGAGGCAAAAACTACAAGTCTCGGTCAACATGCGGCACGTATATAAAGTTTTACTGATCCAATCTCTATACATCATTTTATGCAGTATGATCATAGTCCATCAGCAGCAACTCTAGTTGCACTTTCT